CAGTCAGCCCAGGTTCAATTCCCAGCACCACAGGGTCCCTAGAGCATTGCTGGGTGCAGTCCTGAGCCTTCTTGAAGTCCCCTGAGAATTGCCAGGAGTCCCCCCAAACACCTGCAGGATGCCCTGGATAATCCCCAGCATCACAGATCCTGAGCAACACAGCATCCTTGGGCCCTTGCATTGAACTGCCAGCCTGTTGGTCAAGAATCACTGGGAGGGGTCCCGAGGCTTGGTGAGCACCACTTAAAAGCCCCTTCTCCCCAAAATAATCTCTGCCAATCCTCTTCTCCATTTCCCATTTGGCAGAAAATTTGGAAAGCTTGGTTAAAATGGCAGCAACAGAAATAAAGGAGTTGGTCTCTCAATGGATCCATGACATAGACCTCTCAATAAACATCCCCTCAAGGACCCCTGAGCCAATGGGACTGTGACATGAGAAAGGAATAAATGGTCACTTAACTAACCCCAGATATATAGATATATATAGATATATATACAGATATATAATAACCCCAGGGCTGGTTATTTAAAAAGAGTATATGCAACTGTAATAGTGTAGAGGGGAAATCAACAATTACTTTAAGGTACAGAAATTTCCTGGGGCTGGAGCGATAGCACAGCGAGTAGGGCGTTTGCCTTGCGCGTGGCCGACCTGGGTTCGATTCCCAGCATCCCATATGGTCCCCCGAGCACACCACCAGGAGTAATTCCTGAGTGAAAAGCCAGGAGTAACCCCTGTGCATCGCCGGGTGTGACCTCAAAAGAAAAAAAAAAGATACAGAAATTTCCTTAAAGGTTCATAGCAACAACTTGGCAAGTAGGTTAATTTGGGGGAGGGGGCATTTTTTGTCACATCTGGCAATGCACAGGGGCTATTCCTGACTTTGCACTCAGGAATTACTCCTGGCAGTGCTCGGGGACCATATGGGATGCTGGGAATCGAACCCAAATTAACCGTGTGCAAGGCAAACACCCTTCCCAATGTACTATTGTAATTCTTAATGAAAACAAAGTAAATATTGTTTATCTCCAACTCAGATTGTTCCCTGGAATCACAGCTTTCCTTCGTTTGTTTCTAGGAACACTGGGAACCACTTGAGGAATTTCTAGGACAGAGTTGTCTCCCCCAAACACCCAGAGCTCAGCCATTGCCTGTGAGGTGTGTCCACGGAGTCCAGTTTCGCTTACTTGGTCATTTGTGGCACAGGGTAAGAGGCTGCTGGTACTGGCATAGGCTCAATAGACACTATGAGTTTGGTTAGGAGTCAGTTCCTCTGAGAAGATCACTGGAAACCAACATTCAGGGTTCCCGGAAGCAGAGGATGATGAAGGATTCTACCATTACAATTTATAGGGGTTTCACAGAGGAATGGGGAGATGATAAGTATCAAGAAGTCCAGTTAGACACCGGGGGATGAGATGGACTTAGACTTTGATGTGGATGAAGGGATTGAGTCATCCAGGGATGAGAGAGTCGAAGAGCCCATAAGAAAGTGTCCAGTAGTCACCAGAGCCTACAAGGAGCCTCTCCAGAGTTTGAAGCTTTGATAGGTCAGCACTCAGGAGATCTGGAAAGAGAAGCCACTGCTACCACTAGTACTACCGATGTCCACAGCTGCATGTACACCACAAACATGCTCTGGTAGAGGATAGGCGAAGTCAGGCACGGCCACAAAAGCAGCCACCCTGTGAGCGGCCACTGACCCAGGAAGAGGTGGGGGGTCTTGATCACTTTTCGTGATGTTACATCTTTTGAGGAACGGTTTCCCACACTGCAGTCCCTCCACTCCAAAGGTCCCTATCCTGGAGGACCGCCAGTGACCCATTGTCTAGCCCTCTACTGAAATCCCGTGACAGACAGACCCTATGCTCACTGCTCAGTGCCTTCAAGACCATCTGTGAGGCTACAAGAATTGCAACACTATCCATGAACTGCTGCCCACTGCCTCAGCCCTGGGTGTAGGTCAACTACTGGACAGTAGTGGAGTCCTTAGAAACCACTTTCCTTCCTTACCTTGAGACCTAATGTCCCCACAATTCTCCTCCTTGCCCCTTTTGTCATCTCTGATGAGATGACATTTTGCTCAGACATTTTTTTTAACAGAGAAGAATAAAAATTTTAATTGTGCTACAAAAAATCATTTAAGCTTTATATGTAAGGAAACTTTGATCTTCATACCATGTATAAATCTGTTGTGTAACCAAATGTAGGATACAAAACTATAAAACTTTTATTTTTTTTATTTTTTTATTTTTTTATGCTCAGACATTTTTAATCTTTCTTTTTCCCTTACCTTTCCCAGTCACTACTGGTTTTATTTGTGGGTTTTTTTTTGTTTGTTTCTGGTTTGGTTTGTTTTTTTTTTTCTTTTTGCTTTTTGGGTCACACCCGGCAATGCACAGGGGTTACTCCTGGCTCTGCGCTCAGGAATTACCCTTGGCGGTGCTCAGGGGACCATATGGAATGCTGGGAATTGAACCCGGGTTGGCCGCATGCAAGGCAAACGCCCTACCCGCTGTGCTATTGCTCCAGCCCCCTATTTGTGTTTTTAATATAATAAAATAGAGCGATTCCTTTAAAACATATTCAGTCACTCTTTTATTTAAACATACATGTTGAACCACCAGGCTCTGCCAGATTACACGTGAGTGGGCAGAGTTGGGCAGCAGACACTCCCACCCTGGCCACTCCAGGCTGAAAAGAGACAGTGTGAGAAGCTCTCACCTGACAGCCAAGAGATTGGGGCAGGTGTCCCCAGAATATCCTGTCAGAGGCCCATAGGCTTTTTCCTCAAAGAAGAAATACAAATGTCCAAAAGGCACATTTAAAAAAATGCTCTACATCACTAACCATCAGCGAGATGCAAATAAAAACAACATCTCATGTCACAGAGACTGGCACAGATCAAAAAGACATGAACAACCAAAGGTAGTACAGATGTAGGGAGCGAGGGATTCTCACTCACTGTTGGTGGAAATCCTAACTATCTGGGATTTGGGGGAAACAATATAGACATTCCTCAAAAAAAAAAATACTTGAAATTGAGCTTCCATATGACCCAGAAATACAACTCCTGGGAATATACCTTAGAGGCCCAAAACCATAATGCATGAAAACTGTCTGCACTTCTATGTCCATTGCAGCACAATTCACAATTGCCAAAATCTGGAAACTCAAGTACTAAGAACGACTAATGCGTAAATAAACTATGACACATCTGCACAATGGAATACTGTGCAGTCATTAGGGAAAATGAAGTCATGAAATTTGCTTATACATGGATGGCCATGGAGAATACCATCGTGCTGCATGAAATGAGTGAAAATGAATCAGAGGGAGAGACACAGACACAGAATGATCGCACTCATTTAAGGGTTATAAAAAGATACATGAGAACAATAGAAAACAGACAGTAGAAATAAGGGCCAGGAGGAACAGTCCATGGTAGGAAGTTGGCCACAAGTTGTGGGAGAGATAATAAAGTTAGGATAGAGAAGGGACCACTATGATAGCTGGAAATGATCACTCTAGACAAGAACTGAGTGCTGAAAGGAGGTAAAGTGATATACATGACACCCTTTCAGTAACAATGTTGCAAAACCAGAGTGCCTAAAAGGAAAGAGAGAGTGAGAGAAGAAAAATGTCTGCCATTGAAGTAGACTGAGGGGGTGGAAGGAAATTGGAGATATTGGTGGTGGGAAATGAAACACTGTTGAAGGGATAGGTGTTGGAACTTTGTATGACTGGAGCCCAACCAGAAACAACTTTGTAACTGTACATCTCATGGTGATTCAGTTTAAAAAAAAAAAAAGTTTAGCGAGGTTCTCAAGAGCACAAAAACATTCATATATAAACATATTTGCATATCTCTATTCATATCAGCACTATTCACAATAGCCCAGATCTGGAACAACCTATGTGCCCAGACACAGACAAGTGGCTAAAGAAACTGTGTCAACATACACAGGGAAATATTACATATCTATGACCAAAAAAGAAATCCTGCAGATCACTTCAACCAGGGTGTAAAAGATGGGAAGGAAGGGCAGTCACACTAAGTGAAAAGAGTCAGAGACAAATATTGGATGATCTCACTCATAAGGCCCAGAAGGAGGCAAAGGAAGGACTCAGACAATGGCCAGTGGAAACAAACTCAGACAGTGCTGCAGCACTGAGAACTGTTTCTGCCAGAGGGGAGCAGGGACGTCAGGATACTGGTGGAGGGAAACGGGCTCTCTGATGGTGAGCACAGTGCATTGGCAACATAGCATAGAGTAATCATATTAGCTGTACTGCAAACCATAATAACAAAATACAAAACACTAAATGGGACTTAAAAAAGAGCTTAGTGAGGGTCAGAAATATACTCAGTTGTAGAGAACATGGAACACAAGCCTTGCATGTGTGACGCCCAGAGCAATGGTACAACAAATAAGGGCTTCTCTTGCATGGATACATCCCCAGCATCCCATATGGTCCCTGAGTCTGATAGAAGTGATCCTTGAGCACAGAGACAGGAGTAAGCCCTGAGCACAGCCAGGAGTGTCCCAAACACTCTCTCTCTCTCTCTCTCTCTCTCTCTCTCTCTCTCTCTCTCTCTCTCTCTCTCTCACACACACACACACACACACACACACATCCACCCTGACTTGGGGGACTCCTCATCCTATCTATCACCCCAAACTGTCTCCAGGTGAAGATATGGCCTTGTTCTGAGTTCTGAAAGTAAGTGTGATCAGGCCCAGGACACATCCCAGCCTGGCCATGTGGCTGGCTGAGTCTCAGCGTGCACCCCGGCCACCATGCGCAGGGCCTGAGCCCAGGGGAGGCTTCTGGGAAAGGAGGGAGAGGCAGTTTCCTCCTCAAAACCCTGGTTCCTGTGCCTCCCTCACTCCACCCTCCAAGATGCACAAAATACGAAATTGCTGAGGCATGCCGTGGTTCTGACTTCCGTTTGAGATCCTGCTTCCCTTATTTCAAAGGCAGCACTGACCTGATGATCACTTCCCAGCGCTGTCTCTATCTGCCCAGAAGCTGCAGCTGCTCCCTGCCCCAGGCCATCTCAGCCCTGAGGGGCTGCCCCCAGGATGCAAGGATCCATGGCTGCTGTCTCGCTCCTCCCTCTCCTGCTCCTCACTGCCATCCCCCTCACCCTCGGGTCCCAGGCGGCAGTGACATCCTCCTCAGGTGAGCGCCCCACTCTGCCTCCATCTGTCCCCAGGGGCTGTGGGGAGAGAGCAGGACCCAGGTCTCAGGGACATAAGCTGCAGGAGCTTAGGAGACATGAGGTCTCGACCAGCTTCCTCCTGGTCCTCCCAGGACCCAGCCCTGACTGTCCAGCCCCGGTGGAGGCCAGCCTGCCTCCCAATCCCTCAGTCCATCTCTCTGCCAGAAAGGGAGGGTCCCTGTGCCACTGTGGGAACACGGTTCCCAGAGGATCTAAGAGCAGCCCCCGGAGACCTCGGATTCTGTTGCTCATTTAACTCCTGGGCTTTGGGCCAGTCCTACCCCATGACTGTGTCACGGCTTGGATAGGGAGGCCTCCACAGTGGTGATCAGGACCTGGGGGATCACTCCCAGAAATACTCAGCCTGGCTGGCTGGTCTCATTGCTAGGAGGGAAGGAGCAATGCAGGTTGTGGTGGCCCACTGGTGTTTGGGGGCCGTCAGGGCCACAGCTGGCAATGCACAGGGCATTCACGTGGTACCAGGGATTGAACTTGGCGCCTCGAGTATGCCACCTCCCTGGGTCCTCAGCTCATTTCTTAGGATAAGCTGCTGTGTGTGTGTGTGTGTGTGTGTGTGCGTGCACGCACGTGCACGCACATGCACGCACACATGCACATGTGTATGAACTGTATTTATTTTGTATATTTGGTTAGTTGGACTGAAGCGATAGCACAGCAGGTAGGGCATTTGCCTTGCACATGGCCAACCCAGGTTCGATTCCTCCGTCCCTCTCAGAGAGCCCAGCAAGCTACTGAAAGTATCCTGCCTGCACGGCAGAGCCTGGCAAGCTCCCCATGGTGGATTCGATATGCCAAAAACAGTAACAAGTCTCACAATGGAGATGTTACTGGTGCCCGCTCGAGCAAATCAATGAACAACGGGAGGACAGTGCTAGAGTGCTACAGTGCTATTTGGTTAGTTGTTTGATTTGGGAGTCATTGGGGTCATACCTGGTGGTGCTCAGAGATTATTCCTGGATCTTTGCTCAGGGATCACTCCTTGTGGAGCTCAAGGGACTATATATATATATGGGATGACAGTACTACAGTGCAGTGCTATACACACACACACACACACACACACACACACACACACACACACACATATATATATATAGCCTGGATTACCTGGTGCAAAGCAAACACTGTACTATCTCTCCAGCCCCTTATTTACTTTTTAATTTAATTCACTGTATCACTGTAGCACTGTCATCCCGTTGTTCATTGATTTATTTGAGCGGGCACCAGTAACTTCTCCATTTGTCCCAGCCCTGAGATTTTAGCAGCCTCTCCTTTCTTGTCTTTCCCAACGCTGCTATATTGGAGGCTCTCTCGGTGTCAGGGGGATTGAGACCTGTTATTGTTGCTGTTTTTGGCATATCGAATACTCCAAGGGTAACTTGACAAAGCTATGCCGTACCAGCGGGGGCGGGGGGTCGGGCAGGATCCTGCCTGTTTAATTTAATTATGAATTTTTATTTTGTCACGATACTACCAATGTAACTTTTTTATGCTTGCAGTGTCACTGCAACACACCTCCCTCCGTGTGGCAAGATGGCTCCACTTCAAAGCACCATACCCCTGTCCTTCTCAGGCTCAGCTCACAGTCCCATAGACCTAAATCTCTGGGTTGTGTCCACTGGCAACAGTCTAATCTCTGCATTTCTTTCTATGCCATTTATGAGAGAGATCATCTGTCATCTGATATTTGTCTTTTTTCTTTCTGACTTCACTTAGCATGACTTTCTCTAATTCCAACTGCAAGATTTCATCTTTTCTCAGAGCTCTGTGTGTGAGAGAGAGACAGAGAAAGAGAAATTTTTTATTTTTCTTTGTCCATGGGGTCATATCATTGAAGACACTTCTGAGATCAAGGATCTTGAGAGTCCTGTCTGATCTCAAAATATTTCCTCTTTTTAAATAAAAAGTTTTGCCATCAAGGTCATAACCCTTCTTGAATTAACCTTTGAGTATTGTGTGATTAACCTTTGAGTATTGTGTGAAATAGAGATACGGTCTGTAGCAATACCATCCTGAATGCGCCCAATCTTGTCTGGTTCAGAAGCTTATCAGGATTAGGCCTAGTTAGTACTTGGACAGGAGATAGGAATATAATTCTATTCCTGGAGATGCGCTGTCCAGTTTCCCCTGCATCATTTGTTGAAGAGGCTTTCTATTGCTCTACTTCATGCACCTCATCCCTTTTGTCATAAATCAACTGCCCATACATCTGAGGGTTTATCTCTAGAATATCAATTCTATTCCATTTCAGAGAGTCTTTTTTGTTATAGTGCCAGGCAGTCTTAATTTTTATAACTTTGTAATAAAGATGAAAGTCTGGAAATGCAATGCCTCCCATTTTTTTTCTCAGCACTGCTTTTTCTATTCTGGGAGTCTTATGACTTCATACAAATTTCATAGTATTTCTTTTATGTCCTTAAAAAAATACCATGGGGTCGGGGCTGTAGCTGTAGTACAGTGGATAGAGTGTTTGCCTTGCATGCGGCCAACCCAGCTTCTATCCTTGGCATCCAATATGGTCCCCAGAGCACTGCCAGGTGTAATTCCTGATTGCAATGCCTCCCATGTGGCTCTGAGTGCAGAGCCATAAGTAGCCCCTGAATATTGCTGGGTGTGGCCCAAAAACAAAACAAAACAAAAACTTACCATGAGAAGGGATGGAAGGTTTGGAGAGATAGTACAAGGGTAGGAGGCTTTACTTACATGCAGCCACCGGGGTTCAATCCCCAGCATCCCATATGGTTCCCTAGCACTGTCAGGAGTAATTTCTGAATGCAGATCAACCCCAGGTGAGGTCCAAAAACAAAAAATAAACAAACTAAAAGACTTTTCCTGAAAGTCGGAGAAATGGCAGAGTGGGTTTACATGTGGCAGACCTGAATTCAGTCTCCAGCACTCCATAAAGTCCCTCAAACACCTCCAGGAGTGAACCCTGAGCACAGAGCCAGGAGTAAGCTCTGAACACCACCAGGTATGACCCAAAATTCAAAAATATATAAATAAATAGAATAGCACTGTAGCACTGTCCTCCCATTGTTCATCAATTTGCTCTAGCAGGCCCTGTAACGTCTCCATTGTGAGACTTGTTGTTACTGTGTTTGGCATATCAAAAATGTCACGGGGAGTTTGCCAGGCTTTGCTGTGCGAGGGAGATACTCTCAGTAGCTTGCTGGACTCTCGGAGAGGGGCGGAGGAATCGAACCTGGCTCCGCCATGCTGGCTGTGCACAAGGCAAACGCCCTACCGCTGTGCTATCCCTCTAGCCCATATAAATAAATATAAAATCACAGTGCCCTTAATGCTGAGGAATTTGTTTTTCTCTTAAACTCTGAAACTTATTCAAAGGCCTAATACACAAGCCAGAAAAAGGAGCTGAACTGAGCCTTTCACCCAAGTCTCCACTCTCAAACATGTCAGCACCTTCTGAGCGGCAAGAGACTCAGTACAAAAGCCAGCTCACCCCAAGGATTGCACTGTCAGGTGAGGAATCCAAGAGGAATCCAGAAAGAAGAGTTCAACTCAGCCATATACCCAAGTCTCCACTCTCAAACATACCAGCACCTTCTAAGATACAGGAGTTGTATACATTCACACAGCCAGGTGAGGAATCTGAGAGGGGATTCAAGAGGACATGGAGGGCATCAAGCCAGCATAAGCAAGGTGAGGTGTCTTGGCTCCAGGCCACGGGTATGGTATCAGAAGGCCCCGTTCAGGATGTCGGGTTTTGGAGGGACTCCATCCATATTCCCACTGGGCTGTGTTCTCATCTCTGTTGGGAATAGTCCTTCGATTTGGAGGACCTCTGCAAATTGGTACCCTCCACCCTCGCCCTCACCATGGGCTTCACAGCCCTTTATCTAAGATGAAAATCCTAGCCAATCTTCCCAGAAGGCATTGAGGAAAGGGAAGGAGGGAGGTTCTTGATAAAGGGGGGAAAGAGGCTGAGGAATAGTGTAGAGGAGACAAGGAGACAGGGTTCAGGTTTCTCCATCACCCCAGCTCTAAACCCAGCAGGAGCATCTTCATCCTTCCTCCTCAGCCTCCGTTCCCTTGGGTTGCCCATGCAGCAGCAGCCCTCCCCTTTAGTAAGCCCCCTCCGCTTTCACGAGACCCTCCCCATCTCAGCTTCCCGCCACCCTGTTTGCTCCTCAGGAGGCCCCTACCAACCCACCGACTGCTGCTTGAAGTTCGCTACCCGTGTCCTCCCACTGCGACTAATTGACAGTTACTACAAGACCAGCAGCCAGTGCTCCAGGCCTGGAATCATGTAGGTGGCACCACATGTCATAGTAGGGGACAAGGAGGAGCCAGAGGGCAGGAGGTGGAGGGTGAGGGGTAAGGGGGCAGAATGATCCAGAATGGGGGCTACCCAGAATGGCTCTCAGGTATGCCAACACAGGGATGGAGGGAGGTGACAAAGGGGCCACCTGAGGTCTTTCTGGCCTGGCTGGGAACTGGGAAGAAGTTGACCCCAGGAAGGGACAGGACGCATGCACAGGGGAACGGGAGGTAGGAGGGCACCTCCTGAGCAGGAACATCAGATGGGTTTAAAAAGAATATGTCAGAGAGGAGCCTGGAGACCCTGAATGCCTCTGACAAGGAAGAAGATGGTCTGGGCTAGAAATCTGGGAAAGGTTGGGGAAAATGAGAAGGAAACCCTTTCACTGGTAATCCTTCTATATCTTGCTCCATAGCTTCATCACCAAAAGAGGCTATTTGATCTGTGCCAATCCCAGTGACAGATGGGTCCAGAATCACATCAAGAACCTCCAGGAGTAAGCAGGTTTTGGCAGAAATCCCTCCAGATTTAATTGTTAAAATTTCGAAATTTCAAAATCGCGCAGCCACTACTGCAGCCCATGACATCATATGTTATTTATAACTAGCAATAGAAAACAAATTGTTTACTGTTGCCTTTTCAGCAGATATGAGTGTTGGGGTAAAATCCCAAATAATAATGGTGGGTCTGGCTTCAAAATATTGAATGTAATCAAAGTAGGGAGAGAGTAATATGGAAATCATCTGCCCCACAGGTAGGGGGGAGGTATGGGATGGGGCTATACTGGGGTTTTTGGTGGTGGAGAATGGGCACTGCTCAAGGTATGGGTGTTTCATTGTATGACCAAGACTTAAACCTGAAAGCTTTGTAACTGCTCTCACGGTGATTCAATAAATAAAATTATAAAAAATTTTAAAAAAAGAACCTCCAGGAGTAGAAGTGACCCAGAAGTAGTGGAGTAGTACACAGCTGGGCCAAGACCTTCCTCTCACTCCCAGCTCTGAGCAGCTCTTCTCACTCCCCAGGAGCTGTCCTGCTTTCGATTAAAGACAATGCATGCCCTATTCTGGCCTCATTCATGCCTGCTGGATTCACCCAGGGACAGTAGCCAGAGGTGGCACTCTCAGGATCCAGCCTCACTCTGCAGAAGCTGGACAGGTACTCAGCATAGCTCAGGCTTGTAGAGGGCTGCTAAGAAACCAACCCAAAAGTAAGACAGCCTGACACAACAACGGCCACAATAGCAAGAGATCGTTTGCTGAGGGTGGGGGCAAATGTAGGGTTGGGCCACACCAGGCAGTGCTCAGGGGCTTCTCCTGACTCTGTCCTTGGGAGTCACTCCCACAGGTAGTCAGGGTGCCACACAGTGCCAGGGATCAAACCAGAGTCAGTCACAGGCAAGGCAGGTGACTTAATCCCTGTATCACTTCCTACAACCCAAGCACAAGGCTGAACCATTTCTAGACATGATCTCTATTAAACTTCACAAGTGTAGAATTATGATTATCACCTGATTCTGCGTGTCAGACGACCCCGAAAAGCCCACTCCCTGTGCACCAGCAGGAGAGCGGCAAGAACGGGATCGGGCCGGGGTCCGCAGCCCTGAACGCCCCGCCCCACCGCGAGGTAGGGGAGAAGTGAGAGGCCTGCTGGCAGAACGAGAAGAGCGGTCCCATTCACGTGGAATGTCGGTCCCTCGTCTGGCGCGGCTTAGGCCCGGCCCGGGAGAGCACACCAACACCACATCGATCGGCAAGGAAAGGATGCGAGAAGCAAGCGGCCACCGGTCCCCCGTACAAGGAGGGGACCAGACCCCGAAGGAGAGCGGGCAAAAGACAGCAACCCTCTGGAGAGGGGAGAGGCCCGTTTCAGCCTTTGCCCACCCTTCTGACCTCAGGGTGATTCCGGACCCCGACCAGACAACCCCCCCCCCCAACGAGAGTGAGACTGCCTGACACGCAGCGGGCACGGGGCCCGCGGGAGTGGGGGGTCTGTTCACATCGGGGCCACGGACGCCGGGCTGGACTCGGGCGCCTTAGGCCGGAGGTTGACAGCCACGGCTGGGACACTGCGCCCAGGTGCAAGCGAGAGCCGGCGCACAGGGCCCAGGCGGGCGGCTCGAGCGGCGGAAGGCCAGGGAGGAAGTCCTCAAGACAGACCCCGACCATCCCACACGCACCCGGGGGAACAATGGTCCCGATCCTCATGGCGGAGAGCCACCGAGGGAGGGCTGGAGCGATAGCACAGCGGTAGGGCGTTTGCCTTGCACGCAGCCAACATGGCCGACCCGAGTTCGATTCTGCTGGTGAATCTTCATAAAGATTCTCCACAGCAGCAAATCCTGTGGTTCTTTTTTTTTCTATGCTGTCTCTAAGACCTTTGTTTCCTGCCTTCTGGGATAGGAATGATTCATGCATCAATTTCTTCCAACACTTTCCCCTCCTTTACACACATCAGATTGTACAATATCATCTTCCTCTTGTTGGCATCCACTAAAAGGTACAGCCGAAAGCCTGGCCCATACCTGGTACTCAGGAAATGGATTGGGGGAGAGTGATGGAGGAAGGGATGAAGGGAAGAACAAAGGAATGAAGAGATAATAGAGAGAGTGAGGGAAGTATGAAGAAAGAGAGGGGCAGAGTGAAATCCAGAGACTGTCTATACTCCAGGAATAACACCCTGCTACCTATGAAGAATCAAGATCCATCTCTAGGACTCAAGGAGGACCTGAGGAGCTGAAGTATGAGCATGACTAACGTTTGCTCTTGGTCTCTTGCAGTGGTCAAGACCTGTCTTTTATAGGTGTCAGGAAGCAGCCAGGCATGCAAAAGACACACTCAGATTCCCTTTGATCTCCTCAGCTCCATAAACATGGGGCACAGGGGGGCGGGGAGCCAACATACCACATACAAAAAGAAAAAAGAGCTTCACTTGGGCTGGAGAGGTAGTACAAGTGGGCAGGTGCTTGCCTTGCACATGTCCGACCCCAGTTATATAGACCCCTGGCACTGCACAGGATTTCCTGACCCCCTCCGGAAGTGACCTGAGTGCAGAGTCAGGAGTAACCCCTTACCACTACCAGGTGTGGCCCAGCACCCCGCCCCCCCCAAATTGATTCATATCATTTCTTCTTCAGGAACAGGGTAATGGCCACTTTTCCAGTCTTAAAAAAAGTTAACACTTTAGTTATGATTGGTTTATGAATGATAGTCAAAAAATTACACTTGAGAAAGTTACTACTATGTTGCCAAGTAGGCGCTTACAAAATTTAACCTGCTGTCTCCAAAGAGTCTGCACTATCATTCAGTGCATTATGTAACAGGCCCTCCTCAGCACCACTAAGGAGTTTATCTCATTGCTTGCCTCAATGGGAGAGAGTGAGGGGAAAATGGAGGGGAAAAAAAGAGGGGTGGAATGACAGAGAAATGACATAGAAACGATGCATCCGCAGATCTCTTCTAGTGCACCTGTAAACCCTGTTCTTTTGAAGCTTTGCTAGCTGCTTCAGAGGGTAGAAGATCGCAATTCTGCCTTACACATAATAGTTACAAGGACAATGCTTGTAACATTTTCAGTGGGCATCTATTGATGCTCACGGTTCATCATCTACTTTTCAGAAAAAGGGTTTGTTTATAAGTGACAACCCATGGGCACTGACAATTCTCTATTCCTGGCTCAAATATGCATCCATATGCCACTGTTGAATACATAACTTACCTTTGAGGGTGGGGTAGTGGAGAGGGGGACACACCCAACAGGGGTTATTCCTAGCTCTGCACTTCTGTACTCAGGAATCATTCCTGGCAATGCTCAGGGGACCATATGGGATGCTAGGGATTGAACCTGGGTGGGCTGCATGCAAGGCAAATGCCTTACCTGCTATACCATCTCTCTGGCCCCCAGAGTTTACCTTTGAAGCTGCACAATGAGCAGAAGTAAGCCACATGATGACCACACAATAAAGGCTATAAACCAATTTTTGGACAAAAAAAAGATGCAAAGATTATGCAGTGAAATATGGCCTTTGTCATCCCTATTCATGAGCTGTCAGCTAAAGAGCAAACCCCTAAAGATTTGCTGTTCTTCCTCCCTCTGTTCGCAAGTTCACTTCCCCTGGGCCTCTAATGCTCACACTCCACCAAGCAGAATCTCCTCACTTCCCTTGTCTTCTCAGACGGCGGAAGGCAGCCTTCAACCCTGACCCGGGTTCTGAGACAGCTGGAAGACAGAAGATGCTGAGTGGCAGAGCATCTGGGGCCAAGGCTGGGGCTTCAAAACCAGCCAGAGACTCCAGACACAGATGCAGTGCGGGTAGGGCACCATGAGTGGGGGGGGGGGGGGGAGTTCCTTGTGAGTGTGAATGGGTATGAGTATGTGTGAATGTGGAAAGGAGTATTAATGGGGGTGGGGTGGAGGTGAGGGATGTGGGGATGTGGGGATATGGGGGTGGGTGTAGGTGGGTTGTCAATGTAGGTGGGTAGGTGTGGGGGTGTGAATGTGGGTTTGTAGGGTGTGAGTGTGGGGATATGAATGTGGATATGGAGGGGTGTAAGTGTGAGTGTGAGTGTGGGTACGAGTGAGTTTAGGGGCATAGGACTGAGTGGAGGATGTGGATACATGAGGGTGTAAATGTGGGTGTGAAGCGTATGAGTGTGGGTCTGAGGTGGTGTGGGTATTGAAGGGTTGTAGGTGTGGGTGTGAATGTGGATCTGGGGGTATAGGGAGGTTTAAGTGTGAGTGTAGGTGTGGGGGTGTGGGTGTGAGGTAAGGGCATGAGAGTGGGCGTCGGTATATCAGTGCGGCTGTGGGGATGTGAGTGTGGGGGTGTGGGGTGTAAGTGTGGGTGTGGATGTATGAATGTGAGGGTGTGGGGTGAGTGTGGGTATGGGGGTATTTGTGGGGTGTATGTGTGGCTGTGTGTGAGTATGAGGGTGTGGGGTGAGTGTGGGTGTAGGTGTACCTGTGGGGGTGTGGGGTGTGAGTGTGGGGGTGTGGGATGAGTGTGGGTATGTGGCGTATGAGTGTGGGGTGTAAGTGTGGGTGTGGGGTGAGTGTGGGAAGGCGGGGAGAGCGTGGGTATGTGGGGGTTGGGGGTAAGCGTGCAGGTGCTCTGGAGCGCCCTCTGCTTATCATGATGATGGGCTGCATGCCAGGTTGCCAGAGGGAGCAGCAAATAGCCCTAAAGTCCATCCAACCCAAGGAGATCAATGAGCACATTGAAATAGACAAAACACCCCAGCAACTAACAGGGACCCATGGGCATCACCTTTTTGGCTCGTGAGTAGCATAACATGAATGGGAAAGAATGTGATGCCAGCCTGCGCCCGCGGGCCGGGGAGGAGCCAGCTGTCCTGTCGGAGGCTGCCGCACCACCCTTGCCTGTCTGTGCCTCTCACACCTGCCCCAGGACACCCTGCCCCTCTGCCCAGGCAGAGACTCGGGGGGTCTGGGGTTACAGCCCCTTGGGTCAGCAACCTCAGCCTCAGAGGCCAAAGAGCATGCGGGGCCTTCGTGCCCTTTTCTCTCCTCTCACAAAAACTCACTGAATTCCTTCTGACTTCCACTGTGGGCCAGCCTCGTGCCAGCCCCGGGCTCTCCACCCTCTCCACACTCCCCGCCCTCCCTCTCAGCAACCCCCAGTAGTCTGCCCTTTCTCCTCTTCCAGAGACTCCAGAGGCTCCCAGGGGCCAGAGTCCAGATTATTGCTGGGCACAGTTCAGTCCTGCCCAGACACTGACCAGCCTGGAGGAGAGAATGAGGGTCTTGGTGGCCGCCTTCCTTCTCTTTACCCTCCTCCTCGCCTTCACTTCTGTTTCTCACCACCAGCCAAGTGAATCCTCCTGGCCAGGGCGGGCAGCAATGAGGAAGGGGCTGGGGCAGCAACAGGTCAGGCCCGTCAGCAGC